ATAAAAAGATTAAAGATATAGGTAACAAATATACATAGAAATATATATAGAAATAAATTTATACGAGTTATATATAGTATAAAAATAGCCAAAGCTGCAATTTATTTTTATATAAACATTTTTTCATTGTTTTGCTTTTATAAATTATTTAATATATAAAAATTAATTAATACAAAAATTAAATAATATTCGAGTTCATTAATTGCTAATTAGATGCTACAGGAATACTGTTGAATTTTTTCAACACGTTGATTTTACATCGATTGCGATTTTATTATTTTACTATTATGTTAAAGAATCATCAATAAATAAATTAATTATAATACGAATAAATTGTTAGCTTTCTAAAATTGCGTTAAATTTAAAACTGTCAAAATACTGTATTGCAGACTAAATTATAAAACGTTCCTTCTTATATAACAGTCGCGATTACTTTATTTTACTTATTTAACTTATTTTACTTATTTTACTTATTTGTATAAATCTATTCGAGATAAAATAAGTATTAAAAAATTCATTGCTTATTTACAGAAGTTAAAAAAATCATTCATGGCGCAAAAAAGTCTTTCTTATTTTTTATTCTTGAAGTACTATAATTTTGCGGCACACGCTCCTTGTATAAAGCTATTTACATACAGACGCAGTTATTTCCGCTGCGTCTGGACTTTGTTTAACTAATGTAAACTCCGCACGAACAGTATCGCATTTAGTAAATATATAGCGAAGTTATATTTAACGTGGCTATTAGCTTCGCGACGTTATTATTTTCATATAAAGATCACGTTGAAAAATGCGAATGCGAATGCATGAAAAGAGTAGTTGGAATCAACATGTATCTCACTTTGAAACTTGGTATTACGCTACAAATTGATATGATCTTTTTATCACAATGTCGATTAACCCTTTTCTCTAAAAATTAAAAAAAATTAAACTTTGTACGAATTACATACCACGCTCTTACTCGTAATACTCATGTTTGACCCGATTTCCTTACCACGAGTCTTACACGATGTTGTAGGCGAAAGGGTTAAAAGTAGTCTTAAGTGTCTCTAAACTATTCACGATCACAATCTGTGAGGCAGCTAAAAATATAATAATCGTCGCTAAGCTTCACTTCGTGTAATCACTTAGATAGAACATCTTAGATGTTTAGAATGTTCACAAAGAAATATAACATGCGTTATATTAAAAAAATTACTTTTTTGATATCCAATAGGATATTCTAATCCTCTTACATTTATTTTATCACACTAATTTGTAATAAAAAAAAGTTTGGCACGGTTTAAAGTCTAATAAATACATTAACATTGAAAGATATCATTACGAGATAAAGGTCTTCAATAAAAATAAGTAGATGTCTGTATAAGATATTTATATATAAAACATAAATCTTCGTCGACTGAAGGACCGAAGTTTTTTTTTCGGAAAATTGGTCACCGAAATTGGATCTTTAAATTTTTTAATTTATCTATTTAATTCGTTTCCTTTTTCTCGCTCATCCAAATAATGATTCAAAGTATTCTTCATGATAATCCTTCACAATCACAATCATTTATTGAGTGACTTTCTTTGTATTTTCTATTAGTTCTTAATTTCTTAATTAGATTTGTTAATTAAGCTAATTTGGAGTATTAAAGTCCGTATAGTGTCTACTAACTAATTTCACTTTATCGCTTCTTATTTTCTGCCATCAACGGAATAGATAAGTCGAATATTAATTATAAAAGCTGTTCTCAGTCTCTCAACTACAATTTATCAACACTTTATATCAGTTTTTTTTGTAATATTGCACTGTATATTAAAAATTCTTGATGAGCAAACTAGTGTTGTCGCATTTTTAATCTCCGTTCTATCACGCAATTTTAAGGAAATCTTAAGAAATTAAAGTGTATACAAATAAAAATCTTAAAAAATGAATCCCGGGTAATTTTGAGTAACTTTAATTGACACTCCACATTATTCTTCCAGCTCCTTTGTCAATCGAAATACAGGATAATCAGTCAACTGCTGATCGATCTACTGCAGTTCTTTACTTCAGCACTGACTCTAGGTTCCAACGAACTTCAATGATCAAAGAATCTGTATACTAGGTGGCCGAGTATCCTCTCTAAGTCTCTCACTAGCACTACTGATCTCGCAACTGCACCTGCCATGCTGCTCGATCCTGATCCATACCCTCCTCGTGCTATTCGTCAACAGGCTCCAAACCTCGACCTCCATGTTCTCATGATAGATCGACGATGGTATCGGCGCGCAGCTGAGATCGGGGCTAACGCAGCAGCCTGAGTGGCTGTCGCACTTCTTCACCACAATGTACACCGGCTGATTCACGCTCTCGCTTGGTTGCATACTATGCACCAGATCCCTCAGATTATAAGCTCTTGATTGGGGCTCTCTGCAGAGAAACTTCTTGGTAGCCTCCATCGCACGTGGCAGATGGATCCTCCTTGAGACTCGATGACCATGATGAATCGTCAAGACTATCATCAGCTGATCCACCGTCGTCAGAATGAGAATCAAGAGTCTTAGAAGCGATCCTCTTGGTCTGCCTTTCATTATTGGTCCAGTTGATTTCCTAGTCGAAAAATAAACTCAAAACTTGGATTTTTTTATTGAGAAACTCAATCGATTCTTGATTGTTGAATTGATTTGTAATCTCTGACCTTAATAAATTGATTGTTATTGATCACTAAACTTGCAAGATCTTGGTCCCATTGATTCTTTCGCTTAAGAATTATTAAATCAAACTGAAGATATCAAGAATGGAGGAAGGATAAAAAATTCTTCTTGCTGCGTCTTTTTAAGAACGAAATCACCATGCTTTCAGAAAACTGAAGAGATTTTTTTTCTTCTTGGATTTTTCTCTGCTTTATTGATTTATTTTTTAGATTTTCTTTGCTTTATAAATTTATCTTCGTGCTTCTTTTCTAAAGAAAAAAGATGCTAAAGGACATATATAATAAACTTGGATTTACTTGAAAGATGAAATCTTCTCTTCTTCCTTTTTGAAATTTTGTTCTCTTTGAGAAGCAAGAAAATCACGTGGTGAATTTTTGAACAGATGGATGAAAGAAGAGCTACGCAGCTACACCAAGTATCGGCCGACTGAGATTTTCCCACTGACACACGAGTATTTATATATGGAAGAGCTTGCACGCATGCCTCACGCAAGAACACGCGTAAAGTCCAGATCGCGTGTGCCTTCTGCGATGATTCCGCTTTATTGTGCAACCGTTTTACGGGCGAGTGCAGCCATTGCTTTAACCCTTTGCACTTTGAATAATAATTGTCACAGCCGGTAATGAATCTGTCATATTGATAATTATGAATAATGTAAATATAATGAATAATGTAATGTCATAATTTAAGGAAATAAAATAACAATAATATATTGATATCTAGAATTAATATTTTTATATCAATATTTCCGATATTAAAGGACTCAACACTAATCTTATGTAAAATGAATCCCAGTTGAATTGGCTGAAATTTTATTATAATGCAGATCATGATGTCCTAGTCAAAAGTCCTCATGGACAAGGTCCAAAAATGGATTTTCGAGATATTGGAAATCAAATGTTAGAATTTGACATCCAACTTGTCTCGAAAATTGTCCATTTTTGAACCTTGTGCCCGTGAAGACTTTTCATCAGGACATCCTGATCTACATTATCCCAGTAAAATTTCAACCAATTTGATTGGGATCCATTTTACATAAAATTAGTACGGGATCCTTTATTAAATATTTTTAATAATAAATTACTTAGTTACAATTTTTAGAATTAATTTTTGTACATAACAAAGGACCCCGCACAAAATATATGAAAAATGGATTCCGGCTAATTTGACTGAATGTGTAATATATTGTAGTATATCTAATAATAATTAAAAATACCTAATAAAAACGGCATAAATAAATAATAAAAGAAAAAACGATTAATGAATTAACAATTTTATTAAATAAAAGGAAAAAAAGATATATAAACACATTGATTTCAATGTTTATTTTAATAATAATAAATAATAAAACCTAATAAAATATAATCTGTGATACAACGATGACACAATATAAAAATTAAAAATGAATAATTTTATAACTGATGAATCAAATAATAAGGCAAAAATTCGATTTTTTTTCTTCATAGTAGATTAATGTGCGAATAATTTGAAATATTTATTCATTATTTGTTTGAACAATTACTGCGCGGATTATCACTTTAAAAATCATTTTTCGCGGCTTCTAATAACGACGGGCGAAATCATCTCCTCGCGAATAATGATTACTTCAAATATTTCGATTGCTTTGCTAACTTCCACGAACCGTAAAATGCTCTTTTCTTCCTTTTACAAAAAATAAACCTACTTGTCTTTGCAGAAGCCTTATTGTTATAATGCTAGAAGAGTAAACAGTAAACAGTAAATACCATTCTTTAAATTTTGAATTTTTCAGTAATAAGTAATAAGTAAGATAATATTATTATATCTTTTTAAATTGGAAAAATTGTAAATTTTACTATTATTTAGTAAAACTTAAAATTGTTCAATGTTTTTTTTCTTTTTAATTCCTCTTGTCTAATATTTATTGATTTAAATATTTACAATATTTGTACGTAATTCTTTTCTCCAGATTAACCAGATTAAAGGTACGCGCTAACTCGTTTTACGAGAAAAATAGAAATCCTCGAGGAAACTCAAAGATATGATAACTACCAACTGCGTCTTGACAGGTGAATAACCAAATGCAAAAAAAATTAAATTAATCATGTTTATTTTCTCAGTAACGATGCAATATCTGTGATACATTTGCATCTTAAAGGCTTTTTTACGTAAATCAACTATTGACTATCAATTATATAATATGCAATTAAATAGTCTTTTGCAACACGTCAGATTTATTAGATTCTGTCAAGGTCTGAACTGAAAATAATAAATAAATCTTATACATACTTCCTATTTAATGTATTTTATATTAATATTATGTTTATATTAAATTACATAATCCTATAGCACAAAGTTGCATAAAAGTTGCAGCAACATTGCATGTTGCAAAGATTTTGCAGCGATATTGCTGCAAATTTTGTACTGTATGGGAAGTGAATATAATTATTTGGCATTGTATGTTATTAATTCTAATTGTAAATTATATTTTTATAAATCTGTGCAATTTGGTAAACGTTATTTTCTTTTTACAATATATATTTTATAAAATCGTTAAAAAATCAAATTTAAGTTATTTTCTGCCCAGGATGAGATTTATTAGAATTAATTTTAGAATAGAATAAATTTATTTCTTTTCCGCTTTCTTCGGGAACTAATCTGACATAGATGATTCAGGCGGAACAAATGTACTTCCAGTAAATCTAATATTTTCGATTGTCGTAGTTAAGTTTTTCTAGAATTAATTATATATGCGGCGGGCGCTCGTAATTTCTTATTATTATATATAGGCGCCTTTATTAGAAATTTATGGCCACGTGCCAAACTGTATATTTACAGCATCGATCATGTAATTCTTTTATCAATTATTATACGTATATATATTATTATACGTATACATATATATATATATATATCATTGAAGAAAATATTATCTGTATATATTATTATTGACAATATAACAATAAAAACAATTTATTACTTATTATTTATATTAATATCTTTTTTATAAACGAGTAATAATAATTAAAAAAAAGGAGAAATCTATTTTATATATTCAAGATTCAATGTATATCTTATTTTAATAAAATACTAATTTTTTAAAAAATTTTGTTAACTAC